TGAAGGTGGCTGCAATTTTCTTGGTTTCTTGTGTCTTGTTTTCTCTTGTCCCAAGCCTAACCATTGCGGGGAAGACCATGGTGCCCATCAAGAAAACAAATATTTCATGGTTCATGCGACAGAACAGATCACACACAATGCTATAAGGACCTAAGAAGAACATGGGAATTAATTGGACAGGTTGATCCAACCGATTGCACTTGTACTCCTCGATCCCATAAGAAGCGTATCTGCTATTGTCCTGCTTTGCCTTGCCCTGGTTAAAATTACTCCAATTAAAGATCGCCCAAAACCTTGTTGTTCTCATATTACCTATATATTTTTCTTGCATCCAATTCGATTTTTTCCCAATGCATAGTTTGTATCACACAAGCGAATTTGGAAGCAAGAACAACGTAGAATTATGTGTCTCTTTCTTATTCAGTTTATAACCGTTGTATGAGTTGGTTTTTGGTTTCTCGTATAGCAGATCGATCATGTAAACAAACAAACAAACAAAATCTCTCATTTACCATTTTGTTATGGTTACTAATTTGTTCTTCACTGCCTTTTTGTGGGACTGACTTGGAGTCCAGTCGGGATCATCATCGTCTACTACATTCGGATTAATGTTCTCGTCTCTTCTCCTTTTCCCTGAACCGGGACCCTCATTCTTATCGATTCCGTAGTGGCTGTTGGTGGTCGATTCTATAGTTTCCAATATACGATCCCCGTGCTTGATCACCTTGGCTCTGTTTAGAGGTTAAAAGACAATCATCACTAAAACCCTGAGATTTCTTCATTGCTTTGGTTGGAGAGAGAGTAGAGTTTAAGAAGCTTCACGATACTTACTTTCCAAGACCATTGATATCGAGGAGTTCCTCTTTGGTTCTGGGAAGTCGTTTACTTATCTGCTGAAGCGTCGCATTGCTACAAACATACAAGGGATTTTATATTACTTATGACCTGAGAAAGAAACAGAAAAATGTCCTGAAATGGATTTTGAACTTGCCCGAATACATGGTGCGGCGCCATGACTGTATGTGAGGATTCCTTGACGATATCAGTACGAAGCTTTTTCAAGGCTGTGTACAAGATATCGGAGAAAATCTAGCCCGGCATTGAGATAAATGAAGCAGCCTTTAGCAATTCGGAGTGGTGGTTTAATCTTTGAACAGGAAAAGGAAACAAGGATACACAAAGATATACCAAATCTTGTGGGGGAGCATTTGCCATTGGAAGAGTAGTTTGCTTTAGTGGAACTTTTCCTTGGGTTGCTCCAGATTTACTTTGCTTTAGTACCTTTAGAGCCGAAGGAAATCTGCGAAAGATATGCAAGTCTCAGCCAAAACTAATTCTATTCTCAACCTTCAACTGACGGGTAACCGTCTGATGTTTGATAAACAGGATCTATTAGTTCTCTCAAGAATATTTACAGTTCGTAGCAGCAATGACAATGCAGCAACAACAGACAGATTTCAGGTTATCTGAAATCATTTCCATAACTTTTGCATAGCTCCAAAACATTTCCACTTTGGTTGCAGGTAGTTCATGTGAGCATTAAAGAAAGTAGTTCATATGTAACGTGTTAAGTCATAACTTATCATTATCCTCTGGCTTCCAGAGAGGAGTGAGGCAGCCTTTGACATATTAACCTAGACAAAAAGATACATTAATGGATGTTAGGTGTAGACAGATAGTTGTGTAAACATACACATTCATTCTTAAGCATAATTAACAAGTGCGAAAAGTGAAAAGAGCAATATTTTACCCAAAAAAGGTTCAGCAACAATGATACATATCCACAAAGATCTCTTTTATGACATCAACCAGAGTTTAAGGCAAAATTTGAATTGTTTGTACCTTCAGCAATGAAGATACAGATCCATACAGATCACTTTTTTTAACAACCTCTGCGAAAATATCCTCAGTCACAAGATGGTGCAAGATACGAGAGACTTCACTTTTTGATAAATGCTTCCCAGCTCCATGAAGGTGCAAAGTCTCATGTCTGTATTTCTTGACCTAAAAGCCAAAAGACAATTACTTGCAAAGCGGTTTAATGACACTGATAGAGTTCATGGGATAGAGGAGGAAGGTATAATAAGGTAAAAATAGTTTATGAGACAGAAATGGTTTAAATTAACAGGTTTTGGAAATAGAAACAAAATAAATGTATTGTTAGTTGTGCATACCGCCTGGTTTAGGGATCCCCTGTAGAGTTCTACAATATAAGCTGAAGAAAATCTTTCTCCTGTCAACTTCACCAGAGCAACCTATCCAGCCACAAAAGATTGAGGTAAGTCACCGATACAACATCCAGCAGGTGAAGTACATGATGAACTTCAGATAATTCATGTACCAGTTGCCTTGCAATCAAAGTTACATCTTTTTCAATTAAAGTTTTTCTGCTGGAACAATTGTCACATGTGTTTTTGCAATTTGTCGAATCAAATTTTTCCCCCAAATGAACTAGCTGTAAGAAACGTCGACAATCCACCTCATTTTCACAGTAACTAACCTGAAGCAGCAAAATTTTGGACATAAATCTCACCATTAGAACTTTCAAAGCAAAACACAAAGAATCTTGCCAATAAATACCATGCGGAGAAGGTTGTCCGTGTTTGTTTCGAGTATCCTCCCTGAACTTGCTATACGATTATATCCCGTTTTCATGGAGCCTTGACCAAGTCCTCCTTGGCTAATCATATGCTTCACTCGAATCTGAAAAAAAAGATAAAAAGGTGTAACCACAAACATGAACAAGAGCATATATATATTCCCTCCATAGTTTTTTTTTGCTAAATTTCCCTCCATAGTAACTTGATAATGTGTCAGATTTATGCAACTTACATAATCAGTATAACTGTAATACAAAACACATGATGACCTCTGGCCGTCCCTACCAGCACGACCACATTCCTTGAACAAAAACAAAATAGCGTATGTGAGTTTCAGGCTGATATCAGTTTATGCCTGATTGATGTAAACTCAGTTAAAAAATGGATATTTCATAACTAAATGTCCGATAAAACACCTGATGATAGCCTTCTATGGACTTTGGGAGAGAGTGATGAATTACAAAACGAACATCAGGCTTATTGATTCCTGAAATACCAGTGTTAGCAGGCAGCAAACTTCAATCATTCAAAGTGGCAATAGTAGAGCATTCGTTACCCATTCCAAATGCTACTGTGGCACAAATTATATTGATTTCATCTTTGCTCCATTGTCTCTGTACAAAGGCACGCTGGCCTGGATCCATACTGCCATGATAGAAGGCTGCTTTATGGCCAAACCCCTGGAAATTAAGACGCACTTTCAAATTCCAACATAATATTATGTGGTACGCTCACAATATGTAAAAGCCTCCATCTTAATAAGAAAAAAGCAAACAAATGACCAACCTGCAAAGCTTCAGTGACTTTTTCGCAGTCCATTCTTGAAAGACAATAAATAATGCCAGATTCATCAAAATGGTTTTCCTTAATAAACTTGTCAATATCTTCCAAGCACTTCTTTGTCTTGGGAACGACAGAATACCTGCAATTTTCTTGGTAAGCAACGTTTTGAAAATTCGTTTAAGCTATTTCAGTACATTACCATAGATTTGGGCGATTAAAACTTTGCCGGAAAACTACACAGTTAACCAAGCCAAGAGCTTGCACAACATCTTCTTTTACGCTAGCTGTTGCAGTAGCTGTCAAAGCTAACATGGGAATGTTAGGGAACTTCTTCTTCAGAACACCAAGACCCTGCATATTCCAGGAAGAAAAAGAGGAAGGTTATGTTTCTTGAAAACAGAAATGTAAGAGGAGTGTCTGTTTCAAGCTTTAAACGGGTTAACCTGGTAGTCTGGTCGAAAGTCATGCCCCCACTGACTCACACAATGAGCTTCATCAATAACAAATCGAGCAAGCAAACTATGGGAGTTTAAGCTTTCAAGGTGCCTCAAAAGGGAATCACTTCTGTAGTCGAGAAAGAGAAACTTATCAGCTGGGTGTTACTGGTAATATCTTTCACAATAGAAAAGACTTGCAATACTTTCCCACATTTATGCTAATAACCAATCCTAAAATTAATAGATGTAAGACTTTGGTCCAAGTCTATCAAAAAACTGTTTCAAGTATCTAGTGCTAGCTAATAGAGTTTAATCCATAAAAAATCTGATAACAGTAGAGGAATTGATAGGGTTTAATGCTAGCTAATAGAGTTTAAACCAACAAAGACTCTTAGCTTATACTCACGAGTCACGACAAAAGCTAGCTTAAGGGTTTGGATGTTCTTAGGTCTTCTAAGGCTTTGATTTGTTCCACTCCTATCCGATGTGGATTTTTTAATACTGCTACATTCTTTTCAGGATCAACAACTTAAGAAAATAATAACTTACTTGGCAACTTTTTCCGGTGTGACATACAGTAACCTGTATTTCGAATTCGCAGAGCTCAGCTCCCGAAGTATCTCTAGTTGTTCAGCCCACTCCATTCCGGCACTTAAGGAAGCAGCAGGTATATTGGCCTGTAACCATGATTCAGAAACAAAATAAAATCCGACATAACTTCTGAGTACAACTTATTAATGATATAGAAGACAGAAACAATATCTATGGGGTTGCTAAAGTTCTCACCTGCAATAAGTTCATTATCTGGTCTTGAATCAGTGAAACAAGTGGAGAAATGACTAGTGTTATTCCTGCACAGATCAGAGCGGGGAGCTGCAGAGAAAAAGATGTTACGAAGAAGTTTTGTGGTTCTAGATGCAGAGCAGCTTTTCTGACACTGAAGTACATTTTCAACCAGAACATAATACTAGCTTAATGTTTCACCCTAGAACACAACTTGAACCTGTCATCTCGTTTTTATAGGACGTAAACAAAAATCTTATAGAATAAAAGCCAGTAGTTTTTAGAATAAAATGGCAGTTAAAAGTAACAGTTAAGATGTTGTTACCTGATATGTCAAGCTTTTCCCCCCTCCAGTTGGCATCAAAACAAAAACATCACAACCACTCATTGTAGCATTAATGATCTCTCTTTGGTTGGGTCGAAATGAATGGTTTCCAAACACTCTTTTGTTATTGACCTAACCATTGCAATGGAGCACATAAGTACACGGGAGCGACGT